CACTTATCCTCTTCCACATACTTTATGTCTTTGTTTATTTGTTTATTGTTAATTTAGAAATAAACAACATGAAAAATGTCTCCTTCAGCCAGACCTGGCCTCTCATCTGGGTAGCTATGCACACAATAAATGCTCCCCTTACCACTTCGTGTTTTGTTATAGGCATGCCTCCCCAACTCGACCGGAAGTTTCCTGAGAGCAGGGAACCCTGTATCCCCAGAGCCTAGCGTAGCATGCTGCTCATAGCTAAAGCTCCATAAATATAATAAATATTTAGAAACAAATGAATGAATGAATAAAAGTAGAGCTGTTATGAACATAGTTTTTTGTTTGTTTGTTTGTTTGTTTTTAACTATCTAGTTAAAAAAAAAAAAAGCTACAGGAGGGCAGGGGATGTTAGTTTGCTTTGTTTTCTGCTACTCCTCTAGTGTCTAAAATTGTACCTGGTACAGAGTAGGCATTCTGTAAATATCTGTTGATTGAATGAATTAATGAACAGGCAGATGTTTGTTAAACATCCAAAATATTCCTGGGCAGAATCTTAGACAAAGCATTGTACAACAACATGGTCTCTGCTTATAAGAATTTTCCAATTTAATACTGACAACAGGTCTATACAGATGCTATAAAGAGGTTAACAAGGGAAGACAGGGTGGGGAAATAGTACTGATCATCAGCTGGTATGGACTCTGAGTTTCAGACTGAAACATTGGTGTTGAGGGCTAACTGTTCTTAAATTCTCTCCCAGAGGTAATGTTAAGTCTTTCCCTGGATCTGAGATTGAGAAAGCAGAACAGATGGAAGGATTCCTGAAAAATCATGCATAGCCCTTTCCAGTTATTAAGTTATGAGTCCTCAATCGAGGGAGAAAAAAAAATGAGGAATATTTGTAATAATATGAACAATGAAGATTTATTTTTTTAAAAAAGTTATGAGTCCTACTCAGGTATTGGAGTAACAAGTACACATAAGCCTAGGTATGGACAAGTATTATTTCTTACAAAATTTCTTAGCTAGTGGGGATGATTTCTTCCATCTGGAAAGAGGAGTTCAGTTAACTTACACTTCTGAAATTTACTTTACTTTTTTTGCAATTAAAAATATCTTCGATTTTAAGTGTTCTTTCTTTTTTTTCTTCAAAAAAGCCTTTTATTTTTTGGTGTTTTGTAGAAAGAAGAGAGGCAAACTTATCTTGTCTCCTATTATCTCAAAACAAACTTTGTGGGACTGTAGTCTTAATTTCCTAGGGGTTTTAGCATGTGGTAAAATGCAAATAAAAAAGCTCCAAATAGGGGTATGTTGCGTTATTCTAAAAAACCCCTTCTGACAAATATTTGCATATGGAGAGTGATTTCTGCAGCTGAATTCCCCAGCGGTTAGCACTATCTAGAGAGTCCTGCCTCTCAAAACAGCTCCTTTGAGCACCCAAAGATTACTAAGCAATCCGTATCTTCAGATAAACTAATCTCTGAACTCCGCAGGTCGACTTTTTGTCTTAGATTGTGAAAGATTTCCTTCCAAAAAGTGGTTTTAAACAATGGACAGCATATTTTTAATTTATTTTATTTTTTACAATATACAAAATAAATTTATTATCAGATTGTAGATACAAAATAATTAGCCATTTAGTACATGCAATAAACATTAATATTTCAAGAAAAACAATTTAAAATATAATATTACATACAATAAACATTAATATTTCAAGAAAAAAATATTTTAAATATAATAATATTAGCAAAATTATACTAACATAGGATAATACCACAAAAATTATAGGAAATATTAAAAATCTGAAAATAACAGGATTACTTCTATTATATTCTAAAATATTTTTCCCCCTTTGGCTGTATTTTTGTTCATCAATTTATATGTTGTTCATTATATTCTACAAATGAGTGAGATCATGTGATATTTATCTTTCTCCACTTAGCATAATGCTCTCAGGGTCCATCCATGCTGTTGCAAATGTTGAGTTCCTTCTTTTTTTACAGCAGCATAGTATTCTATTGTGTAGAAGTACCACCTTATAAAAAATTCTTTATTGTTTAAAGTATTACATATAATATTACATAAGTCTCCTTTCCCCCCCATTAACCTCTCCCCGGCCACACCCACCCCCCAGCGCATGCCCTCACCCCCCTGTGTCTGTGTCCATTGGTTATGCTTATATACAACCATACAAGTCCTTCAGTTTATCTCTTACCCACCCCCCCCTCCCTTCCCTCTGAAGTTTCTCTTCAGAGAAAGATGCTTCTCTTTCTCTGGATCTATTTTTGTTCATCAGTTTATGTTGTTCATTATATTCCATTGTATAGATGTACCATTGTTTTTGTTTGTTTGTTTGTTTTGTACCACTGTTTTTTAATCCACTCATCTGCTCATGGGCACTTAGACTGTTTCCAAATCTTAGCTATGAAGGATTGTGCTGTGAACATAGGGTCGCATATATCCTTTCTGATTGGTGTTTCTGTTTTCTTGGGATATAGTCTTAGGAGTGGGATTCCTGGGTCAAATGGGAGTTCCATTTTTAACTTTTTGAGGAAACTCCATACTGTTCTCCACAGTGGCTGCACCAGTATGCATTCCCACCAGCAGTGCACAAGGGTTCCTTTTTCTCCACATCCTTGCCAGCACTTGTCATTTGTTGATTTGTTGATGATAGCCATTCTGACAGGTGTGAGATAGTACCTCATTGTTGTTTTGATTTGCATCTCAGATAATTAGTTACTTTGAGCATGTTTTCATATGTCTCTCAGCCTTCTGTATGTCTTCTTTCGAAAAGTGTCTATTTAGGTCACTTTTGATTGGATTGTTTATCTTCCTTTTGTTAAATTGTATTAATTCCCTGAAAATTTTGGAGATTAAACCCTTATCTAATATAACATTGGCAAATATGTTCTCCCATGCAGTGGGCTTGCTTGTTGTTTTGTTGATGGTTTCTTTCACGTGCAGAAGCTTTTTATTTTGATGTAGTCCCATTTGTTTATTTTCTCCTTAGTTTCCATTGTCTTAGGAGCTGTGTTGGTAAAGATATTGCTGTGACACATATACATATATCTGCTATTTTGCTGCCTATGGAGCCTTGTAGGATTTTTATGGTTTCCCGTTTTACTTTTAAGTCCTCTATCCATTTTGAGTTTATTTTTGTGTATGGTGTAAGTTGGTGGTCTAGTTTCATTTTTTTTGCATGTATCTCTCCAATTTTCCCACACCATTTATTGAAGAGACTCTCTTGACTCCATTGTATGTTCTTGTTTCCTTTGTCAAATATTAACTGGGCATAATCACTTGAGTTGATTTCTGGGTTCTCTGTTCCATTCCATTGGTCTATATGTCTGTTCTTGTGCCAGTACCAGGCAATTTGGGGAATAGTGGCTTTGTAATATATTATACCTTGATATCTGGTATTGTGATCCCTCTAACTCTGTCCTTCTTTCTCAGAATTGTTGCAGCTATTTGTGGTATTTTTTTTATTCCATATGAATTTTTGCAAAGTTTGTTCTAGGTCTGTGAAACATGTCAGTAGTATTTTAATGGGGATTGCATTGAATCTATGCATTGCTTTGGGTTATGTGGACATTTTAATGATGTTGACTCTACCAATCAATGAACACAGTATATTCTTTCATTTGTTTATATCTTCCTCTATCTATTCTTTTAAACATCCTGTAGTATCCCAGGTATAGGTCTTTTACCTCCTTAGTTAAGTTTATTCCTAGGTATCTTAATTACTTTGTTGCAATGGTAAATGCAACCAAGCCAGCAAAGGGGGGCAGTGAGGGGTGACCAGGCCAGCCAAAGTAGGGGGAGAATTGAGGGTGATTAGGCTGGCATGGGGGGAATAAGGGGTGGGAGGCAGTTAGGAACTATGAGGAAGGCAGGCAGGTGAGCAGTTAGGAGCCAGTGGGCCAGTGGTCCTGGACTGTGAGAGGGATGTCCAACTGCCAGTTTAGGCCCGATCCTCACCAGCAGTTGGATATCTCCTGAGGGGTCCCGGATTGGAGGGGATGCAGGCTGGGCTGAGGGGATGCACGAATTTCATGCACTGGGCCTCTAGTCCTGTATAATAAAAGGCTAATATGCAAATAGACGGAATAGGAGGACGACTGGTTGCTATGAAGTGCACTGAGCACCAGGGGGCAGATACTCAATGCAGGAGCTGCCACCTGGTGGTTAGTGCCTCAGCCAGAAGCCAGGCTCGCCAGCAGGCTCAAGACTGGCGAGCACAGTGGTGGTGGCAGGAGCCTCTCCTGTCTCTGAGGCAGCACTAAGGAGTAGTGAGCCTGGCTTCTGGTTGAGTGGCGTTCCCACAGGGGGAGCCCCACTCAGCCAGAAGCCGGGCTCATGGCTCCTGAGCACAGCAGCAGTGGCGGTGGGGGGAGCCTCTCCTGCCGCCACGGCAGGGCTAAGGATCCCTCAGGTAATGTCTGACTGCCAGCTTAGACCCGTCCCCTTGGTCATCCTCCGAGGGGTCCCACACTGAGAGAGGCTGCAGTCCGGGCTGAGAGAACCCCCTCCCAGTGCACGAATGTCATGCACCGGCCCTCTGGTTAATGATACCAGTAAAGGGAAAGATAATTTCACAGTGCAGATACCACTTTACCCAAGTGATCAAGATAAACATCACAAGTGATAATACATCAACATCATAAGCCTTTTGATTTTATGCATTGAGAAGGACACAGTAGCATTTTCCTGTCCTGCAGGACAAGGAAAAACTGAGGAATACCAGACTGGAGGAGATTAAAAGGAAATGACCAATTGCAATGCAGGAAACTGGGTAGGAATTTAGAAGAGAAAAAGGACAGTGGGAAAACTGATGAAACTAGAATAAGGTCATCATTAATAATCGGACTGTGGTTATGTAAGATGTTAAGATTAGGGGGAACTGAGTCAAAATAAAAACTATAAACAAAATTAAATAAAACACATAAGGCATCCAAAATATTTCAATAACATGAACTGCTCTTTGGTTCTTCCTGTTGCAATTTCCACAGCTGAGCGACTTTCAAACACCTGGCTGGACGTTCGTCACATTGAAAAATATGTAGATCAAGGTAAAAGTGGAACAAGAGAATTACTTTGGTCCTGGGCACAGAAAAACAAGACCGTCGGCGACCTTTTACAAATTCTCCAGGAAATGGGACATCATCGAGCTATCCATTTGATTGCAAACCACGGTAAACACTAATTTTTATGATGTGGCTCTTGGTCCGTTTTATAGGAATCCTAATTTGTAAATGTAAATATAGCATTTTATTCAAGTCAATGACTGGTTATGCTATTATGCTATATGTCCAAGATTTCTACCAGTGGCATTTATCTGAAGTGTGTCTTACTGCTTTACATTATTTTGGTGATACTTTCTTTCTTTACTACATAATGTGTACAACACATCTTTTCTACTCCTTTATAGTTTGGGGTTTGATTTTTTTTTTTTAATTTATAAACCACATTTTTTGAACTGATTTATTCTTAGCAATATGAACCAACTCTCCATTCAAAACTCTGAGACTCCTTGAATCATAAACATAACCACAATCACAATATAAGTAAAATATAGATAACTCTATAATTTTTTTATCATATGATTAGAAGTTTTTAAAAAATATAATTGGATTTCCCCTCTGTATTTTTGGGTAAAGATATCCCTCCAGAATTACTGTGGGATTTCTCTTTTATCTGCATCGCTTTTTTTATGCCATTGCCTCTAACTCTGCCTTTCCTGTTTACTGTCCATTCCACAGGGGTCTGATTCTTTCCTATCTTGTTTGTTTCTCAAGCCTTGTCATGCCTTACATGAAAAGTAACCTTATAAATAAAGCTCATGAAGTTTTCTTCATTCATTCTTTGTCAATAAAATAATCTCTTAATGATACTTGTTCTGTTTACTCCACTTTAGATTTATTCACTACAACAAGAATGGTCTTGTGTGATCTTGGGTCTTATAGACTCGGGCTCTTAAGTTGGAAAGTTTTTTGAATCAGCATCCTTATTATTTGCCTCTTTCATTCAGGAACATTTTTATTTCTCTCTATTTGTGTGCCAGGCCAGCACAGCCAAGGGTTCTGTGAGCCTGAGGGAAGCCTGTGAAGGATTAAAGAAGACAGAGAAAGAGAATATAGCTGGGGCTTGGTGGACCTCCTGTGCCTGGATGAGGCCACAAAGAAAGATCTAGGCAAGCTGAGGGTTTATTTTATAATCAGATAAAAACAAGGTAGTGGTCTCCATAGTTACAATGTTTTTGGGAGTTTCACCTTGTTTTGGCAGCACTTGTTGCACCTCCCACAGCCATTAGCTACCCAGGAAGGATCTAGGGGGTGACCATAAGGTCAAGCTTAATTACGCTGAGGTCTCTGCCACAGGGCAATCCGAGGCTTAACTCTACAGCTGCTCCCTACCTGTTTGCACACATCCTTTTGGATAATATACTAAGTGCTCTTGAGCCTCTGTGTTATTATCCAAAGAAACTTTTCACACACAAAGAAGAAATCCTGAGAAATTGTACCAAATTGTACAGTAGCTTCAGGTTGACTTTTATTCTGTAGAGCAGACTTGTAGCAAATAGACTTCTACAATGATATTTGTATGACGTGGCTAACTCCTTTTCATTTTTTGCACATTATTTCTTCACTTAGTTTCATAGAGCAGAATCCTGCACTATGAAGCTTACTAATCAATTAAAATGCATTGAGTCCCTGGGAACTGTGAATTTAATGCCTGATCATTCTCTGAGCCTTTTCCAGCCACTGAAACCACCCACACAACTCTCTATTCATGTATAAACTCACACCACTTTGACAGGACACGTGAGATGTTTTATACTTCAGTGTTCTGGAATAGATTTCAGAGTATTTTTTGCTCTCTACATCATTTATTTATACAGCAGAGAATGATGTGAACTGATTAGACAAAAATGTCACATTCTTGATTGACTCCTAGTCTGTTGCACATGCAAAATTGAGTATTTTATAAATGAGAGATTGGCTGATTGGTGAAAAAACAAGTGTTTACTGCCCTAGTACCAGAAGATAGGTAAATCTGAGATGAGTGGAGGATAGCACCTTGCACTGAGTCCTTTTCTGAGGAAAGTAGTGATAACCAGAATGGTTAGCAGATAACTCCTGGGAGATGTGTCTCTCGACACCTAAGAATGAGCTCTGGGGACCAAAAGATTTAAGCAAATTCATGGAAAATTTATTGCAAACATATTCAGGCCCCCAACTTGGGGAGGGAGACCCAGCAATGGGTTGGTTTCCTGTGAAGCCTTGTAGTATAGGGGTATATATTTGTTACAAGTCTGATCTATATCTATGCTGATTGATTCCCTCAATTGTTCCTTCCCAGCAAGGGATCTGAACTTTCCTTATTTCTATGAGACCCTCCCTAGTTTCACATGCCTCCCACTTTGAGTCCAAAAACATTTTGTTATTCCTGCATGGTTGGTTTCTGTGACTAGGCTTGCTCAAACTGCCATATCTGACCCAAGGTATGTTACACCAACCTTTGTTTTCCACTGGACCCCTGCCCAGGTTGCCTGTGTGTCAAGCTAAGCCTGTCAATAGCATTATTTAATTGTGATTTATTGAGTGAATGCTTTGATTACCTTAAAGTGTTCATTGTATAGCTTGTTAAAAGCAGCAATGTGATGATTCATTGGAAATACTAAGTATAACCTGC